GTTTAAATCCAATTTGAGGTCGAGTACGAACCTTATCATCCGAGGTCGAATCCGAACCTCGCCAAAATTCGTTTAAATCCAATTTGAGGTCGAGTACGAACCTTATCATCCGAGGTCGAATCCGAACCTCGCCAAAATTCGTTTAAATCCAATTTGAGGTCGAGTACGAACCTTATCATCCGAGGTCGAATCCGAACCTCGCCAAAATTCGTTTAAATCCAATTTGAGGTCGAGTACGAACCTTATCATCCGAGGTCGAATCCGAACCTCGCCAAAATTCGTTTAAATCCAATTTGAGGTCGAGTACGAACCTTATCATCCGAGGTCGAATCCGAACCTCGCCAAAATTCGTTTAAATCCAATTTGAGGTTGAGTACGAACCTTATTATCCGAGGTCGAATCCGAACCTTGCCAAAATTCGTTTAAATCCAATTTGAGGTTGAGTACGAACCTTATCATCCGAGGTCGAATTCAAACCTCGCCAAAATTCGTTTAAATCTAATTTGAGGTCGAGTACGAACCTTATCATCCGAGGTCGAATCCGAACCTCGCCAAAATTCATTTAAATCCAATTTGAGGTCGAGTACGAACCTTATCATCCGAGATCGAATTCGAACCTTGCCAAAATTCGTCTAAATCCAACTTGAGGTCGAGTACGAACCTTATCATCCGAGGTCGAATCCGAACCTTGACGAAATCACTCCAGAATATGAGGTCGAATTAGAACCTCGACTTAGCCAACGTGAAGTCAAAACGTGTTGCTCAACAAAAATACAAGGATGAATTCAAACCCAAGGTCGAGTCCGAACCTCGACATTCCCAATAAAGGTCGAGATCGAACCTTCACCAAACTATTACACTCAAATCCGAGGTCGGGTCCGAACCTCCCTAAAACTAGGAGGTCAAAAACCAATTCGGGTCGAGTACGAACCTCGATGTCCCCACCTAAAGGTCAAGTTCGAACCTTAGCTAAATCATTTTACTCAAAATTAAGGCCGAGTCCGAACCCTAACCAAATCGCCTAATTCAAATCTGAGGGCGATTACGAACCTCGCCACCCGAGGACAAATACGAACCTCAACACACTCATCTAAAGGTCGAGCACGGACCACAATCGAGG